AGGGAGAGAGGGGAAGAGAGAGAGAGAAGCCAGCCAGCCACACCCAGATCTCAGGTTGGGACAAGGCCTAAAAGCAAAGGACACCCCTAAAAGTAGCCATGAGGTAGAATTTGCATACAGGTCTTGGAAAGTTTCATTTGTTAGGAGAGGACTTGGAACTTAATTCCAAAATTTGTGGGAGCCGCGCTGAACATAACTACAGAATGTAGGGTGTTGTAAAGAGTTAGGCTGTCATAACCAGGGCTTAGGACAATACCTGGTCAGTCCAAAAGTTAATGTATTTCATTCTTTTTATTATGAAAACCTATAGCCCTAAGGGAGGGAGGAACTGTGCTGCAAACCGAGAGTCTGGTCCAAGTTCAAGGACAAAGGATAGGAGGATGATAATGTGGACTCCCATGAGGGTTTTTGTGTTACTCAGCTTCCGTCACTGCCAAATACCTGAGATAAATACCTTGAAAGGAAGAAAGGTTTATTTTGGCTCATGGTTTCAGAGGTTTCAGTCCACAGTCACTTGGCCCTGTAGGCCTGGGGGAGGAGCACCTTGGGGAGGAGAGCACGTGGTGAAGAAGTCTTCTCTCCATGGCAGCTGGGAAGCAGAGAGGGGAGAGGCCCGGTCCCAGTATCTCTGTCAGGAACACCCTGCCAGTGGCCTAACTTCGTCCCACTTAGGTCCAGCCACCTCCCAGTACTACCACAGAAAAGGAACCAAGCCTTTGCGACATTCGAGATCCAAACTATAACAGTTGTTTAAATATGGTTTGCTTCTGCAACACTAGATTAAAAAAAGAATGAAAGTATAAATGAAGCAAGTGTGATAGTGGATGAACAAGAGTCCCAGGCTTGCTCTCAGAACATTCTCGAAGTTCAGGGTCGTCACTGCCTGCCCACATGAGAGGAACACAGAATGGGCGTCTTGCTCCCTCTGACACCGCCAGCAGCCCTGATCCCACCAACAGTGAATACTCAGAGGAGGCGGCACTGCCGCTTGCCCCAGCAGGTTCTGAGCCTTGAGCCCCGGGGCTCTCTGCCCACTGCGTGGGCACTGGAGGGCCTGGTAGCTCTGCATGTTCACTCAGGGGCTCTTGAGTGTGACCTACGTGGGAGTCAGGTTTCTATGACGCAAGGGGTGGAAAGATTGGGGAGGCCTTTTAAGAAAATAAGACAAAGCGGAGAGGGACGGGTTCAGTTCTGGTGCCTGGTACACTTGAGACGCATACGCAAGTTCAGCAGCAGAAGTCATGGGAGCTGTTGAAATGGAGGCCAGCCCCCAGGGGACACATGGAGAAGAGGAGTCCCGAGGGACACCAACCCCGTGTCGGTGCTGGATCTGGCAGGCTTACTTCCTATGCAGAAGCATTCACAAAATCCTTCCTTATTCTTAATATAATTGTGCATATTTTCAATAGTGGACTTAAGATGTTATTCTGGATCAGCTGTTTGGAAACAAGGAGGCAAAGTGAGGTCCCAGTAACTATTCTTTGTAGGGAAAGAAATAGAACCTGACTAACCAGGGCTCTGAGCTGAGTCACTGAAGTCTATCCTTTGAAGTTATTTTCTTGGCTAATTTGATTTCCTTATTTCATTTTAACTAGGCACTCTTAAGAGTGTCTACATTTCATCCAAAATAGGCTGCTTACATTTTTGGTTGTACTTTATCATGTATTAATACACTATCCTTTGATCTCCCCCAAAGGCCTCTCCTCTCCCTTCCTCTGAGTCACAAGTTCCTGTGATGCTTTGCTGGTTCTGGTGAGATAAGCTGTCCCAGCATGGGTCTGGGAGGACCAGTGCCACCTTCGGCTAGATACAGTATCTCCTACTCCCTAGGTTTAGGATCGTGATGAACTTTGTCACTAATTCAAAATATTCTATTATAAGGAGGTATTGCTGTTCAACAACATCCACTCCAGGACTCATTAAGTGTCTACTCTATTCCAAGCATCACACTAGGTGCAGGAAATATAGTGAGCAAAAAAAAAAAACACTGGCAAAAAAAACCAGCAACAACAAAAACCTGGCAAAACCATGTCCCCTGGCAATCTAGGGAGAAGGACATTAAATAGGTCACTGTAGAGTCACTTGATTATGATTAATCTATGAGCTATAAGAGTGTAACTAGAGAAGTTATCTAGTCTGGGGATCAGGGAAGTGACATTTGAGCTAATCTCGAAAGATTAAGAAGGAATTGACTGGGGGTAGGGAGAAAAACTGGCAAATATTCCACACAGAAGGAATGGGGGGCTGAAGGCTCTGAGGGAAGTTAGAGAGCAGAGATGAACCGGCAGTCAGGGAGGGGCTGATCAGGTGGGCCAGGCATCCTGTCCGGAGGGGAAGAGGAGCCCTGGACTGGAAGAGGGGATCTTGAATAGATTCTCTCGCTGGAGCATGGCTAAGTGCTGCTGGAGTGCAGAGGTGTCCAGAGGGAATAGAGAGAGCAGGAGGTTAGGTGAGTGGGGAGGTAAGCGGGGATCTGAGCCAAATGGGGACTATGTAAATGGACAGAAGTATGTGGCAGATAGATGGCAGTCCTGTTAAAGGAGAGAACAATGAAGTTATGTACAGTCCTGCTCGGCATGGCAGAGCTGTGGTCAATAATCACATATGATGTGCCAGGCGATCATAATGGAGCTCAAATATTCTGGTCACTCATGGACATCATAGCTGTCGTAACAGCTTACTCGGGTGTCTGTGGTGACACTGGTGTAAACAGACCTACTGCACTACTAGGCATATAGAGCCATAACACATACAATTAAGTGTAGTAAGTGCCACTTGATGATAAATGGCTGTTACCACTTAGGTATATGTTCACTATCCACTTACTGCTTTACACTGTACTCTTTTTACTTATAAAAATGTTTACGTTAAAACAGGATGCTCTGTCATAATCACAGCCTCACGCACCTCATGCTAATGCACCTCGATTGCATCAGAAGGCCACACTGAATGATTGACCTACTACCTGTACCATCTGGGTTTGTATAAGAATATGATGTTCACACGAAGAAATTGCCTGACAATCCAGGACTCAAAACTTATCCCCATTGTTAAGTTGTGGGTGATTATAAATGCAGCATTTTTCTTTATATCAAGACAACATTAACATCAAGAGACATTTAAAAGATGCTTGTGTTTGTAGAATACCAACAGATATCCTCCCAGGTCAAGGCTGAGTCCTGCCCTATGTGCTTTTCATGAATTAAGTATTCTAACAAAGCTGTCAAGACCTGTTCAAGTTCATCGGAAATTAGAAAAATGCAAATTAAAGAAATGGAATAACTATCAGACGGGTAATCAGCTACAAAGTGGACAAGCCAGTTGTTGGCCAGGGTTTGGGCATTAAGACTGCTGTTAGCGGACTGTGGAGACGAGCTCAGTGCAGCCTGGCTGTGGTGCTTTGCATAAGTGGGCAAGCCAAGCGTATACAGGCATGCCCTGTGATCTGGAAATCCTGCTCTGGGTTTGTGTCCCAGTGAAATTGTGGTGCAGGTCTATAAGGGGACTGACTCCTGTGAAGAGGGTCACGGGCTGTTGTGTATGGCGGTGGACGTCGGAGGCAATGTGGCGTGTGCCCTGGTAAAATGGAGATGGATATCATGGAGCACCATACAGAAGGCAGAGCTGAGAGTTCAGGTGTACAGCAGCTAAGTGGATAGATTCCAAAAACACTAAGTGAAAACAGACAAAATGCACTATCAGTGCCATTAACAAAAATTTACAAAATAAAGACAGGCACATAAAACTAATACTGTCTCATAAGCATATTTATAAAGGGGAGAATATGCAGCACACATTTTATAGTGTTTGCCAGGGGTGAAGATGGGTAGGTGGGAGGGAGCACAAAAGGGAACACACACACACACACACACACACACACACACACACA